ACCAGAGTGAGATGTTTCTCACTCCCTTGTTTCTCTTGCATATTTTTATTGTGTTGCAGGTGATTACCAACATGAAGATGTTGGTGATGAGGTTTAAGTTTTAGTGTGTGGTGTGCTCTGATAGGACATGTGACATCGGGGCTTAGTTAGGATTAACTTAGAATGTTACTTTTGTTAAATTGATTAGAGGACCTTAATTTTATTCTTTTGTAATTTCCACATCAGACTAAGATTTATGTTTTATGAATGTGAACTCTTTACCCTTATGTGGTTAGAGACGGATTTTATTTGTGAAGGTTTTTTTATTTATCTCTATTTGTTGTATAATTATGTATGTGGGGTATAGGGTGTCACAAAACACATAGTCACTAGTGGATTTTGTCTCATCTAAATCAGAGATCCAATTAGCATCACTGTACCCTTCTAGTATAGCGGGAAATCCATACCATAATCCATGGTACCTCTCAAGTATCTCATGAGTCTAGCAAGTGCTTCCCAATGTTCTTGATTGGGCCTATGGGTATATCTACTCAGTCTACTTACTGCATATGCAATGTCGGGTCTGGAAAAGTTCATTAAATGCAATAAGCTCCTTATAATTTGGGCATATCGAGATTGAGCAAGAAAATCTCCTTTATTTTGTTTTAGTTGAGTGTTAACATCGTAAGGGGTAGTCACAGACTTACAGTCATAATAATCAAAATTCTTAAGAAGTCTTTCAACATAATGCCCTTGGGATAGTAAAATACTTAGAACGGGCTTTTCTTGATTCGAAGAGGGTCGTTCTGGCCACTTCTGACGTCTATAAATAGCATACTCAGGCCCTGCTCCTTGACACGCTCTCTAAAGACCAAAGAGAACCAAGAGAAGAAGATTAAACAGATTCTGCTCTAGCTTCATCTTCTGCTTATCCAGGTAAGTGGGGAGTGAGAAACCTAACTCGGGGGTGTGAGAATATATGTTGGGTAGTTGGATTGGCCCCCAATCCCTTGCCTGATGCATGCTTCTAGGAACAAGTAAAATATGAATATTTTCTGTTTTGATGTATGAGTTTTCTGTTACGTTCCTTGTTGAATGTGATGTGTGAATATGTGTTTAATTTCAAAAATAGACAAGTTTTGATATAAATTAGAGTGCTCTATGGGTTCTTGTGAGAAATCCTATGAAATGAAATTAGGGATATGATCTTTGCATGAATTTCGAGGAATTATATGTAAAATTGATGATGGATTCATATTTTGAATAATATTTAAAGTGTTTTGAAGAATTAAAATATTATATTAACTGGTTGGTTGTAGAAAATGCGTGAAATCATGAAATTGAACCTATGGCCTTTATGCTTCATATATTATGAATTGTGAATTGAATGGGTATGATGTTGGATAATTTCTTGGTATGGTTTATGTGCTATTTTGATGTATATGACTACAAAAAGTTATTTGTACGAGACTATGTGAATATGACGTGAAAATGTGAAAAGTGAACATATGATCTGTGATATGATATATTATGAGATAATGTGACGTGAGATATGATGACACGTAATAAGTAAAATGTTGAGTCAATGAAATAGTGAATGTGTGACATGCATCATGTGCATATATGACTCTAGGTGGAAATTCATGCAAAGATCATATCCCTAATTTCATTTCATAGGATTTCTCACAAGAACCCATAGAGCACTCTAATTTATATCAAAACTTGTCTATTTTTGAAATTAAACACATATTCACACATCACATTCAACAAGGAACGTAACAGAAAACTCATACATCAAAACAGAAAATATTCATATTTTACTTGTTCCTAGAAGCATGCATCAGGCAAGGGATTGGGGGCCAATCCAACTACCCAACATATAAAAAAACTAAGATTATAAACCAAACAAGACACAAAGATGTGGCTGGACCAATGCAAAGATGTAACAAAAATACACCAAATCCGAGAGCAACACTTCACCAATTTTCACTCCTTTTTGGCTTTTTCTTTGACTATTTCTTTTCTTTTTCTTTTGCAAAATATTTTTCTCTTATTTTTCTTTTGATGTTCAGGAGTTTCAATGCCTTTTAAACACTTAGAAGTCTCGGATTTAATGTAAAAATACTGCAGCAAATTTTCACACAAAACAAGAGGTGTTTTCATGCATGTTATAACTAGTGCTTCACTATTTTGTATTGTTTTTAGGTCAAATTTTTAAGCACTCATTTTTTTGTTTTTTCTCATGCATTTAAGACACTCACACCTATGTTTTGGCTCTGTTTTAAGGCTAAAAAAATTGCACAAATTTTCAGCCACAACACAAGACACAAGAAGACCTAATAGGAAAGTGTTTATGAACTTTTCTTTGACAAAACTTTTAATAAGACATAATAGAAACCTAACTCTAGGAAATTTGCTAGAACTAATAGCAAATTAGCAACTCAATCATGTAAAACAAAAGCACATATAGTAAGGTACAGATTTAATAAGAAAAGACACAACAAATTCGAACACAAAAATGCTAAACAAAAATTAGGTCAAACAAGCTAATCTAGGAAGTTTCAACATACAAGAACTACACATGACTTTCTAAGACAAAACAATTGATTAAGAAACAAAATCTATACTCAATGCATGTTGTCCAATCACGGACACATGTGAATGAATGGAGATACTCAAGCAAAAAAAATAAAAACGCACAAGTTGAAGAGTACCTAAAGCACCAAACAACAATTGATTCAAGAAGAATAAGAACAAGCAAACATGAATCAATCACTTCATATTAGACATATAGGATCCATCAAAAATCATATTAGAACTAGATCCTTGCAGCAAACACAAATTTAGACATAGACAAGGAAGATACAACACGGATTCAAATAGAAAAAGTTTGGAAACAAAACCTCAAGAGCACTAGGCTCTAGATACCAAAAATGATGGAGATAAGTTGAAGAAGATTGATGTTCTTCAATGACTCCATGCTTAGGACCGAATATGCCTTGAGGTTGACTTCAAGAGAAGCTTGAAACTCCATGAGCATAAGCTTCCATGGAGGAGAAGCCTTGGAGAAGGTTCGGTCACTTCTAGTGTAGTGTAGAAGCTTAAGGAACCTAGGTAAGGTTTGAAACCTTTGGTGAATTCTTAGTGAAGAAATTCTCCACGGTTTCTAAGAGACTCTTGATGAGAGAAATTCTGAAGTTTATTTATCAAATTTGTCAAAAGTGATTACAAATGAAGTAATTAGAAATATATAGGGAAAGGTAGCTTGTAGGAGAAGCTATCTTTAACCATGGTTCACTAGGAACCATGGTAGAGTAAGCTTTAACTCCCACGGTTTAGGTAGCTTGTAGGAGAAGCCAACCTTGACCATGGTTCACTTAAGAACCATGGTAAGGTTGTCTTAACCTTCCAAGGTTTAGAAGCTTGCAAGGCAAGCTTCAAACCTTGAAGAGGAAACAAGCTAATTTCGGCCAAGAACAAGGAGAAGAGCTAGGCGGCCTTGGTTCATGTTTGCTCCTTGAATTAATTCAAAAATGTTTGATTTGGTTTAGTTAGGTTCATCATATGATGATGAGACCTAGCTAAATCAAATCTATGAAAAATTAGGAGCAAAATGAGTCCAATATGCAAAATTTTGCCTAGGCCCAGTTCTGGCCCAATTACTTGTTACACCCTCAAGCATTGCTAAATGTCACCCCCTTTTCCCTACTGAAAAAATACAAAATGAATGTATCAACTAGGGAGGTTAAATGGAGTTGAAAAAATACAAAATGAATGTATCAACTAGGGAGGTTATATGGAGTTAAACTCTCCAAGTAACCTACCTCAAAATCAATATACAAACACTAGGAAAAAGCAAGTAAAGTGCCTCACAAATACAAAGGCCAAAATAACCTATACAAGAGACTATTTGAAAACTATACAATATATACAAATAGAACTATGCCTTCTCTTTATGATAGAGCATTCCAAGTGAAGACTACCTTGGGCTTGGCAAGTCCACTAGTCTTTACAAGGTCCAACTCTTCTTGGATTCTTCTAGCCATAGCTCTGGTGACTGGGCCCTTGGCCCATGGTCTATCAATCTGGGTGATATGAGCCACTGTAGGAGGGTCACTTTTGCGGCACTCCTCGGATGGCGAGACCTTCAAACTTTCGGCATAACATTGCCAAGCTGTCTTCTAGTTTTCTCTGACAGAAATGATCTTGCCACCACTTCCTGGGAATTTCATCGTGAGGTGTGGGGTAGATACCATTGCTCTGAGTTGGTTCAACGTCGGCCTTCCGATGATTATATTGTAGGATGTGTTGGCCTCAAAGAGGAGGTAACGGACCATGATCCTCGAGTGTGAACTCGCTCTCCTGCAAAGCCAACTAGGGGTTCTGTGTGAGGTTGGATGAGGGAGTGAGGGATGTCTAACCTAAGGAACGTCGGCCAATATAGGACGTCAACCGAGCTGCCTTGGTCGATCAGCATCTTGTGGACCTCCCAGTTGGCGACCTCCATAGCGATGACCATTGGGTCATCTTGATTTGGACAGACGCCAGTGTAGTTATCGTCGGTGAAGGTGATTGGTGGTGAGCTTTGGTGCGAGGCCGAGGTAGCGGAGTGAACATTGTTGATGCCACCCAGGTGTCTTTTCCGCACCAAGCTACTAGAGCCTCCCCCTGTGAAACCACCTGCAATTGTGTTGATAACTCCCCGCAGGGGAGCTGACCTCGTTTCTTGACTTACCTCAGCCTGCACTGTGCCACCAGCGTTTTGTTGAGATCCGAAGGGTTGGTCTGTGCGAGTGCCTGAACCGCAACCTCGCCCTCGTCCTCGTCCGTTGTAGCCTCCTCGATGACCTTGCTGCCGCTGGACGTATTGCCCAAGGTGTCCCGCCTGGACAAGTCCCTCTATATGATCTCTGAGTGTGCGACATTCCTCGATTGTGTGACCATGGTTCCTATGGTACCGGCAATGCTTGGATTTGTCCGTGTTGTTGGGACTGTGTCTAGGGGGTAGCAGGGTGAGCAGGTTACTGTTGTTGGCTTCCTCCAGGATGTGTACTTGAGGAGCATTCAGGGGGGGTGTAGAATTCGTACCTCCCCCCTTTATTTGTCCGAGCAGCCTTCTTAAACTGACTATCATTGGTGACCTTCATCTTGTCTTTGTGACCGTGATCCGACTTGACCTGTGATTTTTCGCGAACCTGGTCACGAAAGGCAGAGTGTTCTTCCATCTGGGCGTACCCTGCAGCTAGGGCACGGAGTTCGTCCATGTCAACAGGAGGTCGCCGACATAGGTTGTCGATGAACGGTCCTGGCTTGAGTGCCATGAGCATGGCATGTAGGGCAACCTCAGGATTCAAATTTTCAATCTTAACCGAGATGCTGGCAAAGCACTCCATGAACGTCCTCAACAATTCGTCGTCACTCTGTCTGAGACTGGCTAGAGTGGCGGATGTAACGTGATAAGGTTGGCTCGTTGCATACTGTGTCGTGAACCGTCTGACCAGGGTGTCAAAGCTGTCAATTGATCCCGCCGTCAGTTAGGTATACCAGCCGAGTGCTTCCCCCTTGAGCGAGGTCAGAAAAACCCTACACAGAATAGCATCTTCATTAGTGTATAGGTTTACCTGTGTGACGTATAGGTCAATGTGCTCATCCGGGTCAGCAGTGTCGTCATAACGGTCGATGTTGAGAGGTTTCCATCCGAAAGGGAGGGGCGTCTCCATAATGCCATCGATAAAGGGGTGGCGAAGGATGTTCGCCCTATGTCCTGAATCTTGGGCAGGCGCGTTGCTAATGTCATGGGCCGACCTGTTCGTTGGTGCATGTGACCGATGTGTGGCGGACCTGTAGGTCGGTGCCTTAGGTGCAGTCGGTGGTTGGAAAATCGAGTGCCCCTCTTCCTCGTGTTGATTGCTCGGTTGAGGGGGTTGATCAGAAGGGCGTCGAGGAAGTTGGGCGCGAATACGCTCGTTCTCGGCACGTAGTGCCGCTAGGTCAGTTTCATTCACAGCGCGCAGCGCTGCTAGGTTAGTTTCGTGGTTGGCACGAATGCTTTGCAGGTCGACGACGAGTTGTTGCCGCATTTTATCGACCTGCTCGACCAGTCTTCTCAGTGCGGCTTCGCTATCTATTCTCGTTGTGCGATCTGAGTCGTCCGTTGCTTGTCTGTTATGGCTTCGGGTGAAGACCATAAGCGTGGCCGATAAGAGCTGTCTTGATCGGCCCCACGGTGGGTGCCAAATGTTCATATCGGAGATCGGTCGTAGGGACGATCTGCTGGGCAAGATTGGTGAGCCTCTTTCGCTGGGTATGCTTGTTGTTCTAAGATGGGGGTGGTACCTGCAAAAGAGACTCCGATGTTAAAGTTAGTGTTTGTGGATGTATGGGTCTCGTATAAGTAATGCACGTACCTTAGTGTGAATTAGGATTTTTCTGGGCCTTAGGCCTGAGATCGGTTATAACCTGTTTAGATAGTGGGCCTTGTTTTGGCCGATGTCGCGCGACACGTCTCCGATGTCAATCCGCGCTGTGATGTCGAGCTTGAGCTCGACTTAGTGGTACGGATAGTACATTAATTAATTACTTTTTTATTTATAATCCTAATAATATCTTTTTAGAAAATTATTATTGTGTTGCATATTTTTTGAAAAGTAGACCAACAAATCATTGATTTAAACAATACTTGTGAATGAAAAACAAAATATTGTTAGAAAGAGATACCCTATTAAATGATGACCAGCCAGGGTCAAGTGTCGGGATGAAGATTAGTCATTAGAAAAATTCATGAATATTTCATACAAATAACATGATTACATATTGTTTAGGAAAGTAGATTGATAATAAATTAATTTTGCAAAACTATTATTCTCCTTGTAAAACAAAAAACTTAACACAACACTTATTACAAGACTAAAGAATCTGATTTTAATTTCCAATATGAATAAGGGCAAAACTATATATTATCATGAAATACCAATAGTTGCTATTGTCATCACTATTATCACTTGTCTTCATCAACACAATTACTATCACCGTCATCTCCCACTAAGATAATATTAATTTATTATTATAACTATTACAACTAAAAGGTGTTGGGAAATAGAAGTAAGAAATTAAAGATATAATATTTATCAATAAATTACATCAAGATGAATATTGTTAAATGAAAAATTAAAATAACAAAGAATAAACTAAAATAAGAAATAAGTTTTAAAAAGTTTAGGTTAAAGCATGTCAAACACTATCCTTTGAGAGAAAATCTCTCCTTACATTGGTAGATTAATTTGTAATGTACACATCTCCCAAAATATGAAAACTCATTAGATCAATCATGTACAACAAAGAATCTTCGAATAAGGGACAACTTGAAAAAAGCATTAGGTGGGACAAACAATCATCACGTAATAAATAATACTAACAAATACAAATAAAATATTAATTTTAAAAATAAAATATTATATATAAATATAACTACTTATGATGCTAAGTAAATACATATTAAAAAAACTACTAAATATCATGATTAGGATACTTTTTATTCTTAATTTAATAAAAACTCTTCTATGATGTCTTTTGTAGTGATTGTCTTTGCAATCTCCTTTTCAATATAAATAGTTAAAGATTTTATATGAAAAAATCTTCTATTGTATTGCAAAGTCTTATTTTTACAAGTTTTATTGTTGAAAAGGCACGCTATGTGAAAATAGTTAAAATACATATAGTCAATACAAGATGAAATTTATGCTATTAACCAAATAATAAATCGATGATTTAAATATTTCTTTTTGTAATTTGTAAAGTAATTTTCTACAGAGTTTTAAAAATTAAAAAAAAATTAATTTACAAATAAATATTCTTTTAAAACTAAAAAAACACACAATGTTTAAACTAAAAAAAATTGTTAAAAAAATTAAGTAACTACAATTACTCCTAGTATTTATGCAAGAAAAAGGGAAATGAGGATTAATTTAGTTGTGCATGGGATTAAGGGTGGAGAAATTTGTTGTACATCGATGAATCAGGTTTTTAATTTTCACCAATGTGTTAGGGACATTTTATGGTGCTTATTTTGGACATTCTATGTCAACTAGGAATGCATCATAGATCCTAGCGATATAGAATGTTCACACATTCTATGACAAGTCAATACAGGAGACATAAGCTCACTTTCTATGTCGAGTGGTCAATGCTCATCATGATTGGGAGCACAAAATATGGTGATTTGATATATTGACTCCCGCATTCTATGACAGACATGCGTTACCCATCATAGAATGTGCACATTCTTTGATGGGTATGGTCACACCTTATTGTTTAAAAATGTGCAACACACCTATCATAGAATGTGCACATTCTTTGACAGGTAACGTCACTCCCTTCATAGAATATGGGTTCATTTTTTAATATTCATATTTTTTTATGAATTTTTTGAAACTTGCATAACAAAAATACATTCCACTACAATCCGTAATATCCATATATATGGAAGAAGAAGAAGAAGAAGACAACCTTTGAACATGGGAGTACGCGCACGAAGGACAACTCAACCCGAAGTTCGTTGAACTGAAGGAGAATGGGTCGCCTTGGTTGTCAGAGCGTTTTGCTCATGTTGGTCGCTAGAATCGCATGGGTAATGTGCACGAAGAGCTTGCCAAAAATCGTCTCAGACGTTGTTGCTAGAGAAAAAGATGAAACAATGGAGCACGAACTAGGTTCTCACTTTGAACATGGTATAATAACAAGACATTATATGATAGGTGACCATTTACCCGTTATAAAATATAAACTTTCTATGATGGGTATGTCAATACCTATCATAGAATGGTTGGTGTCTGGGATTGATCAACATATTCTATGACGAGTGTTGACTAATCCGTTATAGAAAAAATAATATATGACAAGTAAGTCAAAATTCATCATAAATATTTTAATATATTTACAAATATGTCATCATGCCACTTTCTATATCATGTGAACAACACCTGGCATAAAAAGTGAGTCAGAAAATCATCTTTTTTAACTAATGTTTCTTTTTATTTAATAGACCTACATGGGTGGCTAATTGGTTGTGCATAAGGGGCTAGTATGTTTCTTTAAGTGGAGATAAAAGGTGAGTGAAATATTTTAGGGGGCAAATGCCCATGTTAGGATATACGTGGTTCCATCCATCCTCCGAACCAACTCTGCTCCAAACACAAAGCACTTTTAATAAAGTATAATAATAAAAACAAATCTCCAAGCGAGGGAGATAATTTTCACTATCGATTTGTATCACATCTATTTGTGTTGTATAGCATGTCTCAACAAACAACCATATATAGAGAGAAATATTTGATGCAATTGATTCTCAATGAAAACAAACTTGCAACATGCAACAACGAAACTAAAGTATAACAACAATAAAAGAAAATCTAAATCCCTATAGAAAAGCTAACTTCCAAGTATGCAACTGTTCCAAGTTAAAGATAGTCAAAAAATTTAAAAGTTGATACAAAATTATTAAATGAATTAAAAATATTTAAATTTTAATTAATTAAATGAATATATATATATATATATATATATATACATATAAAGGACATCAATATATATAACTGTTACCAACTATTATATTATTCAATAACTTTTAATTAAATTTCAATTTTTTTTAAAACTTATCATTAGATTAAAAGTTTTTTATTCTTGGATCATATCTATATATATAATCTTATATTAATCTAAGATGATTTGATTTCTCATTTTTATAGAACAAAATGGACATAATATATTTATTTCAAAATATAATAAAATATGAATACTTTGATTATCTTCAAATTGTTATTCAATTTTAACAAAATTTGATATAAACATATAAGTTGATATGAAATTATAATTTAATGATTGGATTGATAAAATTAACATTTAATTGAAAGTTAATTAACAGTATAATGATTAATAAAAGTAACACCAATATCATTTAAACCCTCTTTATATATATATATATATATATATGACAGTTGAGAAAATAAAAAAAAAATTAACATACTAAATTTTCTTGTGAATATTAAAAGTCATTTTGAAATGGTGTTATTTGGTCAAGAGATCTTCGGCTCCTTGTGAACAATTATGGTGGATATGGCATATTTTGAGAGAGGAACAAAATAATTTAATAATGTATCGAGGTGGTTGTTTTTTCCTAAGGACATTCTTCTTATTATTTTTTAATTTAGTTTTTATTATTTTATTTTATTGTTGATTGTGTTGTATTATATTAACTTCTTCTATTTTTATTTCTACCACAAACTATATAATGTTGATTCTCCTATTTTTAAATCAGTATTTTTTGTCATGTCGTGACTTAGAGACAAATAATTAGGAATGGCACCAAATTATAAAAGTAAACTAATGCATTGGCATACAAATATAAATAGAGTTAATTTTGCATATATATAAATTCAATTATTCAACACAATACTTTGTTCAATGTACAAGCAATACATTATAATATTACATCTTGGTGCAACTAGTGGGATTAAAGAACAGTCTTCTTCACGAAATTATTATTAGAGTTTAAGTGTAAAATGAGTCTTACATAAATTAAAGTTAAATATATTGAATAGTATATAAGTCAGAAAGTCTAATAACCCTACTTATTAGATAAAAGGAAAGTCAAAGGAAGCAAATTAAAGAAGTCCAAACGTAACAAGTAAAGGCCCAAATGGTTTGATAATTTCATTTAAATATT